CCGGGACACCTGAGATTTTGAGTGAGATTGAGAGGTTCTATGGGCAGCTGTACACATCATCGTTGGAGCCACACGCAAATGTGAGTAACGATCCAAGAGCAAGTCTTACCCGACACTATTCCGATGACTCTCTAGCAATTATGGCTCTCCAGCACCTTAAAAACGGCAGGGCCCCAGGCGAGGATGGAATTACAGCGGAGCTTCTGAAATCGGGTGGAACACCGGTACTTAAAGTCCTTCAGAAGCTCTTCAATTCCGTCCTCCATGGTGGCACTACTCCGGAGGCGTGGAGCAGAAGCGCGGTGGTCTTGTTCTTTAAGAAAGGCGACAACGCTCTCTTGAAGAACTACAGACCGGTTTCCCTTCTGAGCCGCGTCTACGTGCTGTTTTCGAGAGTCATTACGAATCGTCTCGCACGCAGACTCGACGACTTCCAGCCTCCTGAACAAGCCGGTTTCCAAAAAGGTTTCAGTACCATAGACCACATACATACCCTGCGGCAGATTGTACAGAAGACCGAAGAGAACAATCTGCCACTTTGCCTGGCGTATGTAGACTATGAGAAAGCCTTTGATTCCGTCGAAATTTGGGCGGTGCTACAGTCCCTTCAGCGGCGCCAAGTTGAATGTCGGTATATCGAAGTGCTGAAGTGTTTGTACAATAGGGCTACGATGGCTATCCGAGTACAGAACCAGAGTTCGAAACCTATCCAACTGCAGAGAGGTGTAAGAAAACAGGGTGACGTTATATCCCCGAAACTCTTCACCGCTGCGTTGGAAGACGTTTTCAAGCTACTGGACTGGAAAGGATACGGTATTAACATCAATGGCGAGTACACTCACCTTCGATTTGCCGACGATATAGTCCTTATGGCAGAATCGCTGGAGGACCTTAGCACTATTCTCAATGACCTCAATGGTGTCTCCCAACGGATAGGTCTTAAGATGAACATGGACAAAACAAAGATCATGTTTAATGTCCATGTCACACCTATGCCGGTAGTTGTTGGGAGCACTATGCTCGAAGTTGTTGACGAGTACGTTTACCTGGGAAAAATAGTCCGACTAGGTAAGTCCAACTTCGACCGAGAGGTCAATCGACGGATTCAACTCGGCTGGGCAGCGTTCGGGTAATTACGACATATCTTCTCGTCAGGTATACCTCAATCTCTAAAAACTAGATTGTACAACCAGTGCGTGTTGCCAGTGATGACTTACGGATCTGAGACGTGGTCCTTCACTGCTGGCCGTATGAGGACGCTCAAGGTCGCTCAGCGAGCTATGGAGAGGGCTATGCTCGGAGTTTCTCTGCGTGATGACTCAGAAATGAGGATATCCGCAGTAAAACAGAGTGACCGACATAGCCCAACGGATTAGTAAGCTGAAGTGGCAATGGGCCGGCCATATAGCTCGAAGAACCGATAACCGATGGGGAAGAAAGGTTCTCGAGTGGCAGCCTCGTACCGGTAGGCATAGTGTAGGGCGACCCCCCACTAGATGGAGTGACGACCTGGTAAGACATGCAGGAAGTCGGTGGATGCAGGTGGCTCAGGACCGTGCTTTGTGGCATTAATTGGGGGAGGCCTATGTTCAGCAGTGGACTTGTGAAGGGCTGTAATGATGACGATAATAATGATTGGTTCATATGATATGCCATTTTTTAATTTTTTTTTTACTGCAGACAGAGATAGATATTTACAAGAAAAAACAATAATATAATATATCAAGAATAGACATGTTGCAATATTTCCAAAAGTCTACTGACCCAGCAACTTTCACCCAGCATCTGTACATTGCAGTCTGTATCTATCTATCTGCCAAACTACGCACAATAGAGTTGCTACACAAGTCAACTCTGGACATAAATGATGCTATCCTCTTTCGATGGATTGCATTAAAAGAGTCATCCCGGGTTTTCATGTACATTTCAGAGGCGCTACAATAGCGATTAAATCCCATTAGAAGTCTAAAAATATTATTATAAGTTACCCGTACACTATCATGTGTCTTCTTGGTATAGTCTACCTAGAGTTGACACGCGTAAATCACTTGGCAGAAAGATCTAAACAGTGTAATTTTCACATCCGGCGACTCCTTGCAGAATTTTCGCGCAATCATATTGCCTACTACACACAGAGATCTACGTTGACGTTCCACATCCGTGTCATCTTTTAAGTCTGAAGTAACAATATGGCCAAGATACTTGAACTTGTCTACTATCTTAATATATTTTCCATTAAGAAGAATCTCCGGCACGCTCTGAGGTAACTTTCCTGATCTGAAATCATTATTTCTGTCTTTTTAGAGTTGTAAGTCAAGTTATGTTCTTCAGCATATCATTCACAAATTTCAATTAACTTTTTCAAATCTTTCATCGAGGGACTGAGCAGCACCATATCGTCAGTATAGCTCAGGCTGTTAACATATCTGTTGTCCAGTCTGAGCCCTACCGGGGATCTGCTGAGCTCCACGATTAAATCATTCATATAAGTATTGAAAAGATCAGGTGAGGTAACACCTCCCTGTCTCACGCCACAAGAAATCTTATAGCAGTCCGATATTTCACAACCCCACCTAACGTTGTTGGTCTGATTACGGTACCAGAACGCTAGGAGATCAACAACCTCAGCCGGACCTGTGCTAGTGTCACGGAGTTTTTTCCACAGTATTTCATGACTAATTGTATCAAAGGCCCGACTTAAATCGAGAAAACAAGCGTATACAGTAGTATTCCGCTGTTTATAATAACCTATAATATTTATATGATTTATGATTACTATGAAAATTTGCGGAGTTGATGCGCACAGGATTGTTTCTGATAAAACATGTATTGCAACGCAAGGCGGGCTCAGCAGGTTACGTTGCGCCAGTGTGTTGGCAAAATTCACATGTGCTCGAAATATTTTATTACTCAGACATGCAGTTGTCCTCACGCTGTTTTCATTCACCGCCGAACAAGTGGTAGCATTTAAAATTGGTATGAACAATTACATCGGTTCCGGCGTGGATCGAATCTGGGTTGCTCGTATAATGTTAAATTTATACCGAGCCCTCAATCTATTCTACCTTAGCTACCCACAATAAGAAAGCATATTATAAATGCCCACTCAATACTCACTCATTTTAGCAAGTATTTAAAAATATAAGGTTTATGTTGAAGTCTTTAAAACTAATAAATATTATGCTCCGATCAACATGGACGATTCAAGCGACACATAGGTAGGTAAACCGTGCTCAACTTCTCACACACAAATTTTTTTCTTACTTTCTACAACTATACTACTACCTTCATAGATTTTTTATTATAGGATAGGGTGACAAACGAGCTCACAGTCCAGTGCAGTCCAGTAGTGATGGTAAGTGGTTGCTATGGCCCATAGATATCTTCATCTATCCTCGATTACGAATCAAAATGCAGATGCGTTGTCACCCAGGAGGACTGAGATAGAGTACCTCGTTTCCAGTAAAAAGGATCTCCGGTTCTCTACACTCACCATACGAAACACAGCAGCATTAAGCTACTATTTTACGCTGGTATTCTATGAAAGCGTGGTCCTTCCTCAGCCGGGCCGACCCATTCGTGCTATAACTTTTCTACTAATATGATTGCAGCATGGCTCTACAACGTATAAGATGAGATGTTTTCAAAATATATCTGGATAATATAATATGGTTATTTATAACAGTCGAATGCGACTAGTTTCTAGGCTACTCTTGCATTGCAGCATGTTGACATACCTAAGTGTGAGTAAGATAGCCATAATACAATGTACCTACCTACCTACGTTAGGTATATTAATATAATTTTTATTTTTATTGGTTCGTTTATACGATCTAAAGGAAATCATAATATACAACCAATAATATATACATATCCACTTTTTAAGTAGGATGTATGTAGGATTCATGATACAAATCAGTAGGCTATGCATTTGGGATTGGCCTTTGCCTTTGCAAAAACTAGTAACAAATAATAATGTTAAATACAGGTTTTGCTGAACGCTTTTGTGACGTTATTACCACTCGGTACTTTTGCTTATAAGTAGTACATAGGACATGGTAAGACATGCAGGAAGTCGACGGATGCAGGTGGCTCAGGATGCAGACCGTGCTTTGTGACATTCCTTAGGGGAGGCCTATGTTCAGCAGTGGACTTGTGATGGGCTGTAATGATGATGATGATAATGACTTCTGCTTTACTATTTGACTATTAGATGATAGGACGCCTTGGAGTCCGTCAGCCGTCAGGGAAGTTTGGATTTACCACCCACTCACCAATTTCTGCCATCGAATAGTACCTACTAGTAACAATATTAATGTTACTTGCACTGGTTCCCGTATGAAGTGTAAGTATAGGTATAGCGCTGGTATAAATACAGGCTTTGAGGCACGCAATCTTTTGTCTTTAGAGGTGATAACGCAACTTTGCCTGTGGACTTCGTTTGAAATTGTCTGCAGGTTTTATTGATTTGATTGATTATTGTAGCCCACATACCTACCATTCGGTGGACTGTATCTATATACGTTCGTTTGTAAAGACATAAAGTAACTGTATGTCGAATACTGATTACATACTTACATATTAATAAAATAATTAAAAAGATCATGGTAGGTATCATAATCATACCAATAAAAGGTTTCAATTTAACTTGTAAAAGTAAAAATGCTCGTAACCGTAAACCTAATTAGTTTATTTTGGATTACGAACGAAGTAATTGCCAGTCAATTTTTCAAATAACATCAACATAAAATTGACAAAATAAATACACATTGAAAAGTGTTTTATTTATCTTAAATATTATCATAAATTAAGTACTACGTCATTCGAGTGAGGCCAACGCAACGCAACGTTGAGAACGTAATCAAAATGGCTGCTTTTCTCAGTAATTTTGTAGCAAATATCAAAAACTTTGGAAAGTAATCGAAAAGTTTTGCCTAAATTACAAAAGCTCGTTAGCCCAACCATCACCGGGTATTATTCAATGAAAATTGTGAACTTACATTGGATATCCTCACTGGTTTTTCGATGATTGGTTGACAAAAGATAGACCAATGGCCGGTGTCAATGATCACAAGAACGTTGTAGATTGGTTCGGCGCATTACCACTCCCAAAGAAGCGCGGCTGCTCTACTATCCAATACTCGTTCTCGTAATTACAACATAGTCTATGGTCCTACAGGGATACCCAAGGATATTACAAATAAAACTACAATATCTTTGGGGATACCATATTCTCACTTTTTTAACATATTGTAACGAAAAAAAAAAACGAATGTAATTGTTATTTGTTACAATTTCTTCAAAATTTATTCATGAAATAAATTATACTTTTACTAATTTAATGAAACAGCTTAGAAGGGATATTTTCTCGTATTCAATATTTTATTCATATATTTTAATTACTTTATCCGATTTATATTTACTATATTTATGTACTAATCTTCGTATACTAGAATATTATTTTATTTATTACGCTGACTAAAAAATCAAATATCTTTTACTATTTATTAATTACCGACACGTCCAGAATAAGTAATATTTTCTTTAATTTTAAGTAACGTAAGTAAAAATAAAAATATATGGTATATTCAGTGGTTTTACCGGTAAAAAGTATGATAATTTGTCGAAGGGTATGAACGTGTCCGTAAATATGGATTAAGTAATTAAGTATTGGTGTATCCGATAGTAACATCTAGATTTATACTTTCGAAGCCGACATCAAAAAGGTTTCTCTTCTCTCGTATCTTGCGTGATAACTTCGCCAATTGTGATCTGATTTTTTTTTAAATTCCTCTTTTTCATAAACCCTAATATTGCAAAAATAAAGAATAAAGTTTTTTGATTTGACTTTTTAGAAGACATTCAAGATTTACCTCGAATTTGTGATAGGTATTACTTAGTCCACTTAATGGTGAACAAATACACTTTTAATAAAATTAAAAAGAATAAAATGATTTCCACATAGAAGCTTCTGAAGTTGTTTTTGATTTTTCGATACACTGTCTCATTATATTCTTTGTAGTTCCTTGTAAACTGTTTTATGTATTAAAAGAAAGTTTAATTTTACACAGAGCCATGTTAGCCTAACAGTGCCTTGTCTTAAATTTCAAAGCAAGGTGAGTAAAAACTACCTAAATTTAATTCCCACTAATATCTCCAAAAATATTTTGTAATTTTAAGTCTAATTTATCACATGTTCGGCGGTATTTAATATTTGCCATAGTTTTCAAGTTTGGCAGGCGGGATGGCAAATTTGAAAACTATGTTTTTTTTCTACTTCTTATTAAAATGATGCAGCTGCCCATCTCCTAGTTTGATTCAATTTCGCTTCTAACGTCGTTACGTGATGTAGGCTAGTGAATATTTTTCCACCGCCACTACACAGTTGGCATTAGGGTTAATTTAGTCATATGTAGAAATACTTCTCTGTCAACAAAAACATGGAATGAAAATTAAATAAGATAAAAAAGATAACGGAATTTTCAGATTTTAAATTGTTTTAATTTTTCACAAATACTATTATTAACAACTATTTAATTAATCAAATTATTATTATTGGAAAAAAGTTTACAAATTGTTTATAAGAAAATAATTACACTAAATGTCAATGCATATAAATTTTAAATAATGTCATTTGTTTTTAATTGTAATAATTTTATTTCTTTGTTGTTAATAATTTCAGGTATGTGTTTATTATTGTAATATGAAATATCTGTATTTTTGTCGATAAATAAATAATTCTACATGTGAACAAACCCTAATCTAAAACGTGTAGTGGCGGTGCAAGTGTATCAATTACCCTTAATCGTTCTGTAAATATCGTAAAAGTGAAGAAGTGAAACCAGGAGTTGAGTTACTGTGTCTTTCTAATAAAAACTACAAAAAAATGCGAGCAGCTCACACGCGATAGAAGTGAAACCTTCAAGTGTAATAAAATATAAAATACAAATATTTTACGTCAAATGATTTATTTAATATTATAGAAAAGAAATTTACCCAACAATCAACACAATATATATATATATATATATATATATATATAATATAATATATATATATAAATATATATATATACATATATATCGAAAAAGAGTAATATATATATATATATATATATATATTACTCTTTTCGATATACCTTATATAGTACTCACTAATTACAAAAAAATTTATATCAATTTTACCTGTTACTAAGTTGAGGTTTGGCCGTTTTTCATTGCTGTTTATTCCATAGGCACACGACACCTTCGTACCTTGTAAAACAAAACGCGTAAGCGAATGAAAATACGCGTATGAAAATATAATTTTGATGGCAACACTAATTGTATAAGCGAGACATACTGTAGTGGCATAGATATAGTATAAACTCCAGTACCAGTATAACTCCTGGAGTTTATACTAAATCTATGCTGAAGTGGCTACGTAAGATGCAAGTCTACCTGTAGTAGATTTTTTCCGAAAAAAATCGATCTTTAAATGAATTTTAATCGATATTGATGAATCGATTCACATAAAAAGCTAGGTCTAAAAGATCGATTTCTCAAACATTTTTCTTTTTTCGATTGGCTTTTAGAGTTTATATTTACAATATCAAAAGATACAACAAATACAGATTAAAAACGTAAGTTATTTTTATATCTTTAATCCATTAAGAAGAGGCGAAAGAAATTGTACACTCAGCAGCTTGGTGGATTTTTTGAATAGAAAACTTTTATTCTTTACAAGTTTGGGACTTTGGGTACGTTGAACTAATTTTAAATAATTTAAAAAAATTATATATGCTTTCTTTCTATTATAATCATTGAAAATAATATCATAAATAATAATCGAGAACTTTACCGATAAGACAATCGAGTACATAATATTTCATAAATATCGTAGTGATAATCTAAATGTGACAAGCACACTACCCACGAGCTATGTTACAAATTAGGTTTAAAATTGAACACGCAGGCACAACGGTACTCCTAACGAGACTAGTTTATATAAGCAACATATAAACAATAAAAGTGTGACGAGACTACTTAATTCTGGTGCGCTCGCGCCTTATAAAATAACGTAAATGGTCGCGTGGATTACGTATGTAGTTCAATTTAAAATAAGGAGAAAGCATTAAAATATCAATTAAAATGTATTTTTATTTTATTATAAGAATGAAACAGGGCAACATTTAGTTAACGGTTAATCATATTTAATAAACAAAAACCATTTATACGTCCTTTTTTATTCAAATTATAAAATTAAAAAAATTTAGTATTAATATATAAAAATATTACTTTAATTTCAAAGTTAGATCACAAATCAGTTTATCTATTATTTCTAATCATTTGGTTCCAGAAATATCCAAGAGATTATTTTACAGTGGTTTACTATTGTAATCCACGCGACAACTGTAGGATTAGTGTTTAAGAGCACTTTTCAAAAATTTTGTATGGCAAATATTTTAATTTTTTATTTTTAAAAAAAATCTTTGTTTTAAATGATTTTATTAAAAAAAATTTAACGTTTGTTACCAATAAATATATACAATTTAGGTATAAAACAGGTTTATTTTTGAGCATGGCACTACCGTGTTCAATTTTGTTGCTAAACATAATTCATTAAATTAAATAGAGTTCTTTGATAATTCCGTGTTAAATATTTTATACGATTACATATAAAGGCATTTGATTCCCCAAAAAATTTAAACTTGAAAAAGTTTGCTAATTTTTAAATTACAATACAAACATGATCATGACATGATGACGAATACAAAACAATTTTTTGTATATATTTTAAAATAAAAATATAATGTTAATGATATGGAACAATGATATAATAAAACAATTTTCCGGCAAATATTAATAAGTAAATATAATTAGTTAAAGTTCAAAACTCAAATTTTATCAATTAAAAACCTTCGTTATTTTTATGGACAGTAACAAAATTGATTATGATTGGTAACCAAGAAATTACTAAGGCCCTACTTTATTACATTTTTAGTGATAATGGTCCAATTAGATTTAGTTTAATAAACGGAAAATAAATAAGACGCTTAATTAAAATAAGCAACCTTTTATTTTAAACGTTTAAAACAATATTTATTTATGATGAAACATACGAGAAATGAACTAAATTTCATGAAATGCGTAGATTTTCCTAAATAAAAGAAAACTCCGTCGTTTATAATTGTTAATTAATACAATTGAATAAGAATGCATCTCCATCCTCATCAAAATGCAAGGATTTAGAAATATAGATGATATAGAAGTTGATCTTTCAAAAGTCAATTCTAAAAATACTAAATCTATGCGATTGCATGTCCTTTTCTTTTCTTAAGCAATGAAAGAAGATAGAACTGACTAAAATTTAGTTGTGTTATTTTAACTATTGCTCTTTGCTTTTGAGTTTTCAAATCTTTATAAATTTGTTGTAATGATATTCTTTTATTTATTTTTTATTATTCTGTAAAGATTTTTTTACTTTAGAATCATTTTTCAATTTAATTTTGTACAATCTTTCGCTTAGTGCTGCGTAAGATTTACATTCTGTTGAATATTTTATTTTCTTTTTCTTCAAGTAATTTTTAGTTTATGTAACATTTTTCTGTAATATTTTAATTTCTTGTCGCTCTCTTTTTTAACTTTTTTATTTTCTTCATTCTTTGCCGCTTCTGTTTCTTCCAATGATTGATTAACGTTTTGTGATTTTTTTTGATTTTGTTTTCTTTTCTTTGCACTGCATTACTTTTGCTTATCTCTCCAATACTTTCTTTTTTTCCCATTCTGCTTCACTGAGAGCAAACTTTTTTTTTATATTTAACCATCATCCTTTCTAAATTTTTACGTCGTCGTTCTTCTAACTTTTCTGGTTTTATAAGCTCATTTCGGTACCGTTTCATTTTTCCGTTGCAGTAAGCGGTGCCAATTTGTACGATAACCTAAAACTTAAAATCAATTATTTGAGATTTCATTCAGCACAATAACACCTCCATAAAAAACTGTTTAAATATACAAAAACACGACTGCAATTAAATCTTCGCTTTTGAAAGTTAACGAGAAAGGAGTACGATTTCGTTGAAGTTGGTTTTTTGTTTATTTAAACATTTATTTGGCCCTTTTTATGAATAAACTTTCTACATTATACTTCAAATTAACTTTAATGATTTATTTAATGAAAAGTTAGAATGAAAAAACCTATTTCTACCAAAAAAAGCATTTTGGAAATCAGTCAATCGTAACAAACAAAATGAGTTTTAAATATAAGAATACTTTTTGCAGACAAGCTTTTATACGCATACTAAATTTCATTCAGCTGCTGTTAACCATTAAGGAGTTCCTTCATGAGGAGTCACTCCTGTCTATGACATCAAGATAAATCTATCATAAAACTGCTTTGTCATACAAACTAAATGTGCATGCAAAATTTTAGCGCAATCGGATACCAATATTGAAAAATAGTTTACAAATTTTGACGGACATATTTTTAGGAAAGGTGCAAGTTAAATAAAAGCAATAACATACGTGGTCAAATTGTGTGGTGTTTTTATGGAAGTCTGATTAAAATAAATCATGGCTAAAAACTATGCATGGTATCGCCAACATGAAATTCGTTCTGGATTTCATTTAAATATATTCAGCAGATTATACGAGATCGAAAAAAAATTTAATATTCTAATATTTTCTATTTGTTGGCAGTAGCTGAATGTATTCGGTCCTTAATGATATCAATTGTGTTACCAATGAGATCAACATTACGTTACCTACTCAAAAGTAACAAAACTGAGGTAACAAAATTTGATGTTATGGGATTCTTTACCGGCCAAAAATATTATTTTATTAGCTAACATTGTAAATAATAGTGAAAACAAGAGTTAGTGCACGTAGGAATCATTAGAAAATTTTTCTTCGTAATAAAGTCTGTACTTACCGTTTAAAGTCCAGTAACAAGTTTGAGTTTAATCGGTACCCACGGCACTCGTGCACGGATCGTTTGACACTGAATACATGTCAGCCTACCAGTTTAAGAAGGTGGACTTAGACATGAAGAAAAATGTCACCACAGCATTAAAAACATCCCAAAAAGTAGTAATTTTTACAAAATATGTGAAATATCATAGTAACAATGTTGATAATCGAAATTGAGTTAAATTTAGGACAACAAATAAATTGAAAAAATTAATAAATTAAATGCATGTTCAAAGGTATCATTGCGTGAATAAATATTGATATGATTAATCAAAATAGAAAGATGTACTCCTAAAATTTTATTTTTTGGTAAAATGAATTTTCAAATCATGTGATACGGGATAGGACAATCTACAATCCCTACAACAACAAACAAAAAAACAGTTTTCAGAAAATAAATTTTTATTATTTTAAAACGCTTCTGGTAGTATTTTATTTATGATTAATTATATCTATAGATATGAATTTAAAAGATTTAAAAAAAATCAGATAAATATGGTTTCTTGTATAGTCACAAAATAAATACGAACTTAAAGGACATCTAAATTTAAGGTGGTACAATTTTGGTGAGGATTGCTCTTAATCTCATTAACTCACAACTTTTTCTATGTTGATGTATTTAACCTACATGTGTGCGTAAAATGTTATAATGTTGGAGATTTAGATTTGTGTGTGCCATAATGAAGCAAAATTTTATTGAGCAAAAAAAATAAAAAATTTAATTGTTCTAAGAACTGAACTGAACAAGATTCCCCAATCTTAAGCTCACAAAACACTTTTTTCTCACTTAAACCAACTTGTAAGCTCCTTAGATCGCTACGAACAGTCAAAGTTGTAAAGCAAAGTGTACTTTGCTAAACAAAAAACCGGAACGGCGAAAGGTACAAACAATCACACCACTCGGTCTCATTTCTATGCAAGACTTACATAAATCTATCTTTTTCATGTATGAATGCGAAAAAAGGCTTCAATTTGTCTATAGGTTTCTCTGTCTACGTCTAGCTAGCTAGATGTAGACAATAAACTAGGCATGTAGGCATGACGATTTGAGATCGATTAATCAATGAATCGATATCTTTAATCGAAATATAGTACTGAATCAATCCAATGAATCGATATCTCACCCTGGAAAATCGAAATCGAACCTTTTTCTGTTTTTATAGGAATTATAATATTATTTACAATTAGTTAAATGTACCCAAAGTCCCAAACTTGTAAAGAAATTCTTTATATCTATATATAATTCTTATAAAAACAAAAAAAGGTTCGATTTCGATTTTCCAGGGTGAAATTTCGATTCAAGTGGATTAATTCAGTACTATATCTCGATTGAAGATATCGATCGATTAATTGATTAATCGATCTCAGCTTAATAAATTAATAGATCTTAGCTATCAGCATGCTGAGTCTTCCACATTCAAACGCGAAATATAGTGGAATTTCGGCATTTTTGAAACAGTGTACTCTAATATAAATATATAAAATACTTATACGTGTCACACATAAAAACTTATCTCAAAATGTTCTCGACAAATTACTAAAACTGCTAAAAAAAAGAATAGAAGCATATTTCACCGCAAGAAACCAGACGTAGTGGATTTGTCTAATTTAGTTGATTTTAATAGCTAATATTACTTAAGAAATGAAGATTTCTTTAAATAACCGCATTTTTTCTTATTTCCTTATACATTTACAGGATACAACTTAGCGAAATTTTGTTGATTTCAAAAAGCAGATTTTTGTAAAATATAGCGCTATTTTGATGATGGTTTAGTGCATCTTTTTTCTTCATATGACTCAAAGAACACTTGCTCCTTGAAATAATACTAGTTTTTACGGAATTTATCGCGTATACTTTAACTTTTTAAATACCCGACGTTTCGAACGCTTTACAGCACTCATGGTCACGGGCAGGACTGAGATGTTCAACGTCCATATGTCATAGTTAACTGCGGTTACCATAGATTAAAATTTAACTTTTGTTCCGATCTATGCAGTATGAACTTATGGTATCTTGAAGTCTTGCAGTTGTATGCTTGGGTTGGGATTTAATTTTATTTATTATAGGATCCCAAGCAGATGGTAGCACCCAGCCATCTTCTCTATTGAAATTAGGATGTTTTTTGTTTTCAATAGCCTCGCGAATCATCCTTGGAAGGAATCGGTGTTCTTTAGCGAGGATCTGCGGTCTATCAAATCTGATGTAGTGACGGGGGCGATCCTGTACGTGTTCACAGACTGCAGACTTCCCGGAGCGTCGATTCTTCACATCAGCTATATGTTCTTTAACGCGGGTTTTTATTGATCTTTTAGTTTGTCCTATGTAGGAGAGACCACATTCACAATCAAGCTTGTACACTCCTGCATCTTGCAGAGGGACATTACACTTGACCGATGGTAAAAACTGACCAATCTTCTTCAGCGGCTTGAAGTATGTTTTGATGGAAGCGCGCTTCAAGATGTAGCCAATCTTGTCAGTGATTCCTCTAACATATGGCATTACAGCAGGTACACGCTCGACTGTGGCCGGCTTCACTCGTTCTCTGCGACGTAGGCGCGGGACTCGAAGCTTGTTGTCATGCAAAACTTGCTTGACATGGTGGAGCTCTGCAGCCAGGTGTTTACTGTCACAGATCCCTCGTGCTCTCTGAAACAAAGATTTACCCACGGTAGCTAACTGTGAAGGATGGTGGTGAGAATCACCGTTTAAATATCTATCTGTATGGGTCTTTTTCTATACACAGTATGGCTCAAGGTGTTTTGCTCCTATCTGACTCGTATCGGTGTAAAAGTGTTCTGCAAGTATTCTGTGAGCAATACGGCTACAATGAGTAAAGTGTAAAGCCATAACCATGAAGGTTAGAGAACAGGAGAACGATCACTACGTACTAAAGCATAGCCCGCCTGTCCTTGAAAATTGTAGAATACATAGCGGTGCTGACGTCGGTGAGTAGAGACTGCGAAGTTAGCTGTTTATGATTACTAGTAGGTGAAGTTAGTCGAATAATGTACAAATTTTCATTTCATTTTTTCTTAAAAATTTTCATGCTCCATAATTTTGTAATGTTTGACAAAAAGAAACATTAAACAATGGAGAAATATTTTATTGTGCGTGTATGTGCAAGTGGAATTGAGTATCTGATCGGAAAAATAGACTGAAAATGACTTTTATTGACTGCACTTGTGACACAGAGTACCTTTGTATAAACTTGTGATCGCAGCGCCTCACTGATGGTGTCTTTATTTCTGGGACGCTATTTTCGACGACGATCGTTCTCCTGTTCTCTAACTTGCTACATATTTATTTATCTATGGTACAAAAGGTGTAAAGCTGTAAAGTGACTAGCTTGCTACATATTTATTTATCTACATATTTATTTATCTATGTTTATTTATCTATGAAAGTGACGCTATTGCAAATATTGTGCTAATATTTTGTGAATTTGTTATATCCGAATGTGTATAGAAATAGGTAGGCTAACATAAAATGCATTCATCAATATCTGACGATTTAACTCGAGAGCACTTGGCATTGGAAGCAGCAAAGTGTTTGAGTAGGTTATTTCAAAATTCGAAGTTTGACTCGGTTTCATTTGTTTCAATTATTTTGACAGCAGTAATTTTATTTAATTTCAGAAAATATTTCCGTAAATACTAAGAACGTAAGTGCATTATATAAGGAATTACAGGAGATAAATTTGTCAATAACAACTTACATTGAAGAGAGCAAAACTCGTCTAAAAGACATTCGTTTAGAATTGGCTAACCAAGCTACGAGTGCCTACAAAGTTGTGGAAATACTGTCGTCAAAATGTAAGTCACAATTATATATCTTTCTTTTAAAATGAGAAAGTATAAATACATTAAGAAGACACATTACCATCATATTAGTAACATACATTAATATCAGTTGATAAACAAACATAGGAGTGACATGTGCTTACCTTTTGCAATACAATAACAATATCATGAAATTAAAAAAAATATTGGTAATTTTTGTGTTATTCATATTTTGTTACTTATTTCCGCAATATGCAAAACCAATAAGTATGGTTATTTCATACCTATTCGTTATAGTGATTTCAAGAAAAATACATTTATGTTAGCATGGAAAACTGTTTATTGTATATCATCTACTAATATTCTTATTTTTCATGTAATAGTATTATGCAATTATTTACATTTTCAGAATTAAAGAAATATGTCAAAGTCACCAGCCACTCCATATAAGAAAAATAAAGTCAGGCGAATCTCTACTACACCTATCAAAGAGGATGATAACATCTCACATTTAAAAAATTTTAAAAGACAAAATGCAAGAACTTTTATAGCATGGTATAAACAAATGATTGATGAAGATCGCCAAAACCTCTCGTTGTACTTGTCTGATGATGCCACATTAGAATGGTTTGGCCGGACAATCAAAACTAGAAAAAAAGTTACAGCATTTCTTAGATATGATATGCAGTGTTCTAGGCATGATTTTAGAACAGTGGAAAGCATAGAGTCAATTCCACCTAGAAGAGAAATATTATCAAGGTTTGTATTAACATAATGATACATATTAAATTTTTGTCATAATAAATAATAAGTCATTAAATCTCTGGTTTCCTTTCAATACTTGGTACCTTATTTTAATAATGCGTAAATATTTTTAAAGTATATAATCACTAATTATTCATGCAAACAAACTAAGAGACTAAAAGGATTTTGAAGTGCCGATGTGTGGCCCTAGTAGGTATTTTCAAAAATGATATCTGTTTCACATTGCTTGCTCCGTATCACCATCATGTGATAGAGAGTTGCAAATGTTTGAAGTAATTGCCTACATTTTCTTTTTAAAATATTGTTTCAAGTGATAAGGTTTTCACCCCCCAAAACCTTTACAAAATGAGGCAATTTTGGTTTCATTAGATTCAGTATACCTTAATTTAGGTCTGTATGTTTGTTTTCTAGTAATTCAGTTTATTTTAACTTAAAAATTCGAGGAAGTTTTTAAGTCAAAAATATAGATATTTAAATGCTAATAACTTATATTGGACCTAGCTTTTTCATTATTTCTGCAATGTTTCCAAAAATTATGAAAATCAGACTATGTTTACAGGAGGGAAAACATTATTGCTTTTTGTATGAAAATTTGCTGCATCACAATCCTCTTAATAATTCCATTTTTATTAAATTTTCTAATAATGGAAATAATGGCTGGTTAATCTTATTTAAAAATAATTTTATGTAAATTGTTCTAATTCTATATTTTAAAATATATGTATATGATTGCAGTAAAAATTACTATGGTTAATTGAAAATAATACTATCAGACTTTGTGATACTGCTAAATAGCTGGAAAAAAAATTACTGACTTATACTTTTTTTTTTAATTTAAAAAGTATGAATCTAACAATGATAGAGCTTCAAATACATATTTTGTTTTCAGGAAGGATGATGCGGATCTTGCTAGTCCATTCAATTCTCCTGAAACTTGTGGCACTGTGAAGGAAAAACGGGGCAAAAAACGTCAATTGAGGTCTAAATGTAATAGTCCAGAATGGGCAGAAAATTGTGGGCCTGAGGGTGAATTAAAAGACTCCGAAAGAAAAATATTGAGAAATAATAGTATGCACTTGTTAAGTAATGGTAATAAAATTGATGTCAAATTTGGTAATGATATCAAAGAGATTTTACCTGCTAATGTAGTATCTAATTTTAATAATAAAGGTGACTGTACATTAAATAAACGAGCAACTAAACGTAAGTGTTTTACCATGACACCTCCTAACCTGGAAGTGGGTCAAGGTGATTGTCTTCCCTCTACTAGCGGTACAGACTCTGATAAGTCACATGATACATTGAATGCTCAATTGCCAAAGCTAGCAGTCGAATGTAATGGTTACATAGAGTTTACTCGTACTAGAAATAACCGTAGTATAGACTCAGTTAAATGGGAGAGAAAGTGTAAATTTCAAATATCCTATTCAGAAGATCCTCTTAACGTTGGGGAGTATATAATTTGGAGTATAAGGTATCATGATGAGAGTAAATGTAGACGAAATCTCCTGGCAGCATTTGAAGAAGTTGCTAGAGAAGAAGAGTTTAAAAAGTTGTTATAATGTTTTAACAAGTTAAATTGTTGTAAAAAATTACAACTAAATTAGCTTTATGGTATATAATAGGTTGATATTTAGTCATGTAAATTTAAATAGGTTTATATTATGTAAGGTATTCATACTTTAATTTGTCTATTTATCATTGTAAACCTGGAACTATCCTTTTTACAATATGATCAGTGTCTTCAACAACCATGTGATATAACATTAGTTATACATAGAAATATATATAATTATAAAATAGATTTTATTATTAGTCTATGTAGGTGTATTTATCATTATGACAAAAAATACCGCTAGGTATTATGAAGTTTATAGTTTAACTATACAAATGTTAATGTAGATTTAGCTTTAATGAAAATGAAGGTATATTTTTACAAGAGCTTACTGTGAGGAAACCAGTGTTAAACGCAAGAATATGGATTTTTGTAGTAATAGACTTGTCTGCTGTTTTTCATGTTTTTGAAATTTTTGATCTATGAATGACATTATAGTAAATCTTTTATTAGCTTACAATAAATTTATGAAATTTTCTACAATGTCTGATATCTAATAACTTGAAAAACTGACAACTGCATATGAAATAATTTGTTGTTTTAATTTAGGATGGACTATGGGATATTCCAAATAAATATTGATTCCTTTCCTTTTACATATGTTGAATTATTTTTAGAGATAAGATCTACTTGATACCCTTATTTCGTGGCTCTATGTCTCGGGCACACTCACCTTGCTTAGGTTTCAATGAGTTTTACTGGAAGAACACTCACAAACACGTTCACAGTGCCACCAGTGTCAGCTACTCACTGGCAGTCCCTTCTTGGGAGAGGTCAACACTTCTTTTTCTCCTTCCCATATGTGCTAATGCAAAGCGTGCCTTCTTCGTACAATTCTCACACTTTGTGCATAACAAACTACAATTTTTTTTGTCAAGTAGATTAGTCATATACAAACGTAGGAAACTAAGATATCTTAAAAACCCTTAGTGGCAAATCATCTTGTTTAACATATGTCACTAACAAATGCGGTATACTGTTAAATTCGATGATAAAAAGATCTTCTACATACACACATATATATATATATATATATATATGTAGTATTGGATCAGTAGTCATTGTCATAATTCGGGTCGCTTTTTATGTGATTATGGAACAGTATTGATTTCAACAAAACTTGTCCAATCTTAGCTGATATTTTCAATGTTTTAATAGTTTAAAACTAAATATTGTCTGGCTTTGCTATATCCATTTTATATATGAACCATCTTGAAAAGCATTTATAGCATTTAACATTATAGATATTATTATAAGTGCAAGTATTTTTAGTTTTTGGTGCAACCTTGATAAAATATTATTGTAGAAAAACAATGAAAAGTATCACTGAGTGAATTGTGTCCAATTTTATAGTCCTTAATAATGTAGCAATTTTAATACTTTATGGAAAAAGATTGTATTAATATTATGAAATAATATTATTGTGCATGTATTGTCCCTTATTTTTATCTCTTCATATTGCCAAGATTATCATTATAATGAAATACCATTTCTAATATATAAACAGTTTAACATAATGTGTAACTACGGCATTTTAAAGAGCAGTAGATATACGAGTGATATAAACCATTTATTAAGTCTGCTTGGGCATATGAATGTGTAATGGTAGGCGATCGATATTAATTCTGCTGCCTGATTGGCTCATTACTTAGTTTCTCCATATTTAGTAATTAGTACAAGTACTATACGAATTCCGAAATACACAATGATGTAATCAAAAATGAATATGTGCAACTTTGCTCCTTTAATATTGTCTCAAATCACATGCTGATTTTCATTGATGTTAAATATTAATTTTCGTTTATTTAAACCTTTAGAGATTGCTTTTCTCTATACCCTTAAAGACAACATATTTTTTTATTACTTATGGTACCTTTAACAAAATGCTGTTCAATCATGATAAGCACAATAAGTTTCTAGATGATAATGTTCTTTGTAAATAATTTTCAAGATGCAGATATTTCAATTATGTTATATAATTGAAATATCTGCATCTTTTAAAAATATTGTATAATTTATGTAACATTCTATTATAATACTGTTAATTATTAAGTGTTTTAAGTTTTATTTTGTTAATTAACATTACTTATGAAGTAATGGAGAAAGATGGATTTTTGTTTGATTGTGCTAGAGATGTATAAGCTGAATAAACATTATTTAGACATTGAGATCTATTTGTCTTCCTTCCAATTCGAGAGTGCTAATTAGAATTATACGTGGTAGAGCCATGCTGCAGTTATATTAGTAGTATAGTTGTAGCACGAATGGGTCGGCTCGACCGGGGAAGGACCACGCTCTCACAGAATACCAGCGTAAAACAGTAAATATTTTGTAATGTAAAAAAATGTCACGTGTAAGAAAAACGGGATGATATAGGTTACTATACCATCCTGTGGATTTTGTGTCGTAAAAGGTGACAATGGGAAACTAAAACATGGGCAGTAACAGCTTCCACATAATCACTGAAAATAAGACAAAAATATGCAGTTGTGAATCTGCCTGTGCAGGCGAAATTCCCCCTTTTAGACAATATATAGGGGATACCTATGTTCAGCAGTGGACTTGGTTGTAATGATGAGGATAATGACATTTAAATTACCCAGTCTGCCAGTTCTGCTCATAGTCTTCGCCGACAAAGGTGTAGAAAGTGTAGATCATTGTCATTTACACGTCTTCCTTCAGTTGCTTTATCTAACACATGCTGCTGATCACAAAGTCGAGTCGGGAGGACAGCGACGGAGCCATGTGCTTGCAAAGTTTGATGCATATCATTTTATTGCTGATATATTATACTTTTAAGGTCTGGTATAGTGCTTCTACATCTATCACAAGAACAAGTTTTAAAATTTAACATAAACCCAGTATAAAAATGTGCAAATAAAAAAAGGAACAATAGTTTTAAAATTAATATTTAGCCTTTTTATCACGCATGTCTAAGGCGTGATGGCATTTCTTACCGATTGTAGTAGTAGATATGCACTAAAGTGAATTATACTTCAATGGTTTTACCCAGCTACAATATGTTTATTTCATAGTATAGTGGTGTTGGGTGTAGTAGTAGCAGTGATGCTGCATGTAATTGGGAGACGGTCCCTCCTACTTTAACATGTTTCCTGTCCATGAGGTAAACCCTGACCTCATTGAAGATTTCCACTGACACGTTCATGAGGTCACTATTACCTCACGACCCTTGCTATAAATATTTATATACATTTACATAACATAATTTCATATGGGGTTGACCTCATTGGGTTTTCGGCCTATTAAAAAAAACCAAAACAAATGAAAAATAATTAATTAACATCTAAACTGTATTATTGATTCTATATTAAACCATTATAACCGAAATCTAAAGTGGACATGTGGGTGTAATCATGATTTTATATGCGGACAGGGAATGTGTTAATGAAATGTCTTCGACACGAGAAAATAAAATTTCGTCGGGTAAATTTTTTTAAAAATCTAGTTTGTACTATTTTGAAATAAGGTTTCTCTCGGCGTATATTCATGGATTGTCGCAAAGTAACTCCCGATTCTATTAATTATCGTAAATTTGGTGTGAAGGATATTATTTCTGATAATAAGCAGCAATATTAAACGTAGAACCATGCTGTAGCTATATTACTGGTATTGTTGTAGCACGAATGGGTCGCCTCGAGCGGGGTAGGACAGCAATTTCACAGAATACCAGCTTAAAATAGCAACTTACGCTGCTGTGTTTCGTATGGTAAGCGTAGACACCGGAGACCCTTTTTACGGGAAACAAGGCATTCCATCTTAGTCCTCACTAGTGATAACTGATAACGCATCTGCATCTTGATTCGTAATTGAGTAGAGATGTAGATGACTGTGTGTTCGTTTGTCACCTGTATCCTGTAAAAAAATGTGTACAGTATAATTAAATGCTGTAAGAATTACTTTTCTTTGTTCTGGAGGTAAAGACTCCTCATTCTTATTTACTTAATAAATGCTTAACTTTAATCCCATTTTTATTAAGCAGTGTTGTAGCCCGAGAGCTTCTTGATAAGTTAAAAAATAATGCCATTAATAAGCGTTGGAATTATGGAAAATTAATGAGAATATTAGGTAATTCATTGTAACAGTAATTCCTTTATTAAATTCAGGTGTGTAAATTTTTTTAGAAACCACTTTTACACCACTACTTTTGGTGCGTTTCAGAGTAACATATTATTGTCCAGCATCTCTGTCCTTATAAAATTCATTTGCTAAGTATATCCCATACTACAGGACGATTATTACGCGTTCCACTTCATGTTCGCAATAAAAGGAAAGTAGCTATTGGCATTATTATTAAGTACTTAGTTTTATAGGCATCAAAAAGTTTTATTTAAGTTACTACAAGTCCATTTAATACTTTGAAATATATGATAATATATACATAACAAGTAATATGGTAAATAAATTCTAACGCCTGAGATTCTCGTCAATAATGAAAGATAAGATAAGACACAACGCGGGATCCTCCATACCCGCATAAGGCAGCAGACTCCCACTCCCCTCCTTTCTAGATTTACAACCCACCCCCCCCCCCCCTATTGCTTCGGGCGAAAAAAAAGTTACTTCAATATCAGGGTAAATTTATTCTGTGCTTCAATATCAGTTAGATTTTTTTTGAGGCGCGACGACAGCGCCGCCACATCTCCCCGGCGAACTTTTTTAAAAGTATAATTACTTACATATTTTTTTCTATAAATTGGTTTATTTGTCCCTTATTAAATACACAAGTACTCATTACATGGTTCAAAGGAAGACAAAACGCAGTTTAATTGTGTTGAGAATACACATTTTGTTTTTGCATACTATACATAATAAAGTCTTTCAGATCTACATGTGGCACCATCATGGCTTATTTAACTTAATGTTAACTTTATTTACTAAATTTTAAATACAAATAACAATCATTAAATCTAAATTAAAATTTTGATTGTGATGCTTATTTTGAAGAATTTACATGATTAAATTATTTGTATACCTAATTAATATTTTATATAGTAATTTGTGACAGTATTACATTCATACAAAAAATACATTAATCATATAATATTGTTTTATATACAACAAAAGGATTTCTGTAAAGATTATACAAAAACACATGAAATTATTTTTTTGGTAACATTTTTGTGAACATTTACCATACCATGTCATATTAGATGATAGATGAAAAATAAAAATTTTACTTCTTATTTTACAACCAGTCTTATTTTTAATTACAGAATGTTTTTACCTTTTAATATACACTGAAAATATAAAAACATTTATAAAACACCAAATCATGTATCTTTTTTTATAATCCGCATTTATTATTATTGATAGAGCTTTAAAATTGTTAAATAAACAATATTTAAATTGGTCTATAATCTGCTTACACTCGTGCCGGTTTTCTTGTGCCATCAGTGTGCTTTTTAACTTCAATAAACAGAATTTTCTCAATCAAACAAAATTTAAAAATTATAAAGAAAGCCTCTTAAAATACCTATACAATATTTTATAAAATTTAATATCTATCAAATATTTATCTTAACATATTTAAAAATAATTATTGTATGTATTCTCATTAATGCTTTGAGTAAAAGTATCTCACCCTAAGTTAGTAAACACATCGAAATTAAAACTTAAGAAATTTAAAAATTTACTACTTGTGTCCAACCGAATCTTCTGGTTCATTTCGACCATCTTCGGCCAAAAAAGCAAAATGTAAGAATTTTTGCATATGTTGTCAGCAAAGCGGGCCCTGTACTCTTTATGTTTTAGACTATTAGTGTAGTATATAGAGCTAAAAATTCAGTTATCTATTAGTTAGTTAGTTTATGATGGGCTGTTTTCCGCAACTACACGTCTAAGCGCGTATTTTGCGTGTGGGCAGGAATAATGTGGTTATTTGAGCCATGATATTTCCCCGAAGAAGTTTAACAGTCCTTTGATGTTGCAAGCAACTTCGGGGAGCGATCCCGGCGTGCCGAGATGTTTAGCCCTGTATGAAGCGACTTCTGGACATGTCAGCAACATGTGAGCCATCGTTTCTTCCTCTCCCATGCATGCCCTGCACAGGGGGCTATCAGTAACACCTATGGTGAACAAATGTTTGATAAAAGTGCCATGTCCTGTGATAGCAGTTGTTACTATCCTGATCTGTGGCTTGTTCAGTTTCATTAGAACCTTGGTTAGACGACTGTGTCAGTTAGCTATAACCCTCTCAAAAATGAGAGTAGGCTTGTGCCCAGGTGTGGGACATATATAGGCTGTAATTTTAACATTTTTTAATAATTACATAAATTTATTTCATTTATAATTTTAAATTATTTCTCAGAATTATTTAAAATCTGTGGCATTTTATTACCTGTGCTAATGTGTTGGCAGAGACAGAAGGTATTACTTGATTTATGAGGTAGGATATTAAATATCTGGTAGTCTAAACTAAACGCACGAGGTTACTATTGCTATGTATTTTAGGGCTTTATCATGTAAAAAGGTCATAATTTTTCTGTAATCTAGGAGCTACATTATCCAGTTGTACCATGATTGTAGTTTTTTGTTCATTAACACACACTTGAAAAGAACTTTTTGACTCATATCAGATTTTGATGTTGGTACATGTTTGTCAAGCTCCAAGCCACGATTGGCTATGTGAAAATAATGCCAAATGAATCTACTTTGCACCTCCACAATAAAACCTCACACCCATTCATTGGTTGAATGTTAAATATGTTTCCATCCAAATTTTGACTCTGTTCTGCAGTTGAAGTTGCATCAACTCATTTGGCAGCCAAACTGTATGTTTGTATGACTTTCCTAAAGTGTGGAATCGCTTTTCCATTCAGAGCTCTTAAGTTGCTCTGCTCGTCAACATGAAGTAGATCTAGAATACATATCTATGAGCCTTTTTAATTTTTCCACATTTATTGCAGGTCATCAAACAGATCATAAGTTCCATCCTTAATTCTGTCTGATGGTGAAAAAAAAAAAACAAATATCCGCACATCATTGTAAGGTCTCCGCTTCAGTAATTTTTCGGTCTAAATAAAATTTGCAAAATATGAGTAGAACTTTTCTAAGAGAAATGTCCATAATTTATTGTTTGACTGCCAAAGGTTTTTGTTTAATAGAATAAGGGTGACAAATGAGCACACAGTCCACCTGATGATAAGTGGATGCAGTGGCCCATAGACATCTACAATTATCCTTGATTAAGATCCAGATGCGTGGTCAGCCCTGAGGACAAGAGCCTCTTTCCCGAAGGTCCCGGCCATACCACCAAACAAAACACTGCTATTCACAGTAATTAGTGAGAGCATGGTCCTTCGCTGGTCGAGCCAACCTATTCATGCTACAACCATAACAAAGCTCCAACATGGCTCTACCACTTAAAGTCCAGTTGTCAAATGATTTAAGGGCGAACACTCCAAGAAATTCTAGCTTCTATAACATTTTAGAAACAAACTAAAAAACTAGTAGGTTTATTAGTTGCTAACTTAATATTTATATTTTGAGCTGTGGTAGTACAGGGTCCAAGTACTTGCTGTAGATTTTAGTGTTTTGTTTTTTTATAGCATTGGGTGACAAGCAAGCACACAGTCCACCTGATGGCAAGTGGATGCTGTAGCCTATAGACATCCACATTTATTGTCAATTAAGAATTAAAATGCAAATGTGTTGTCTCTGCCTCGTTTCCAGTAAAAAGGGTCTCTAGTTCTCTACACTCGCCATATGAAACAGCAGCGTTACACTGCTATTTTATGCTGGTATTCCGTGTGTGAGAGTGTGGTCCTGCCCCGGTTGAGCTAAAAAAACCATAACATTATAATATAATCATGGTCAATCTTTGACGACGCCAAAGAAATTGTTTGTTAGAGTTAATTTTCTCATGTGCATGGCTGAGTAGGAAACCATAGTGAGGAAATAAAAATATTTCAAATCATGCAAAATTTTTCAAAATGCACTGATGCAGTGCAACAGACTAATAGCCCTCTCCGAAATGAAAATGGCTGTTTGACCGTACAAAATAAGTTGTATCTTAAATTAAACAATTAACTGAATGTTGCTCAAATGCCGACCGTTAAAACTTTTTATTTTGTCCTATTAATAAAAAGTTAATTTAAATGAATTAAGTATTGGTGTCAATAAAAGAAAATATATCATTGCTATGTAAATTGAAATGAATGCAAATTGCAATTATATATTTTCATGTCTATGTAACTACATACATCATTTTACTTGGTAGAGCCATGCTGCAGCTATATTAGTAGTATAGTTGTAGAACAAATGGGTTGGCTCAACCGGGGAAGGATCAAGTTTTACACAGAATACCAGTGTAAAATAGCAGCATAACGCTGCTGCGTTTCGTATGGTGAGTGTAGAGAACTGGAAACCCTTCTCATTGGAAAGGCGGCATTCCATCTTAGTCCTCACGGGTGACAAGGCATCTGCACTTTGATTCATAATCGAGGATAGATGTAGATATCTATGGGCTACAACAACCACTTACCATCAGGTGGACTGTGTTCAAGTTTGTCGACCTTATTATATAAAAAAAATAGTACAGTATTTTTTTATATAATAAGGGTGCTTTGAATTCTTGCTAGTGCTAGTAGAAATTTCTTAGCACAATTAAAATGTAACAATCTTCTTTGGCTTTGTACAAAAACTAAGCTTCGGTCGGACACTTCCTGCTACATTATTTGTACAAGAGCTCAGTTGTGTACACAATATGATACTATTTTTTCCTCTATGTTTCACATTTAAATAATTTTCATCTGCACCGTGATCTCACATGTAACTTCAACACATAATTTAATAGAAGTATGTGGATTTTGAGACCACATTTAAGCAATTCACATAGACCACCAACCATGTATTAAATATTTGTTACACTATAAGCATATACATAGTCTGTTCGCTAAGATATTGTTGGAACACCTGAAGGTGCATTTTTTTAAATAAATATTTTCCTATTCTAAGAATAATATAGATTATATTATTCTTATAGTTATTGTAACAAAATATGAATATAAATAATAAACACAAGTTAGTTTAGCAAAAAACCTTTTACTATAGCACTTCATTTTAACATGCCAAATTCTTGTTTGATTGTAGGTCATGTGCGGCAACCTTTGATATTGTAGCAGCAACAAGATGCCGCATGAAGGCAACTGTATCTAAGGGAACATACTACATAAAATATGTAGAGCTCAAGATAGTTAAAAATAATCACTTGTAAACCAAGATGTGTTTTTGCACCCAATAGATATTGCTGGAGTTCTATAACATAGCAGACAGGCTTGCGTAGGTCAGGCAACTTTTAAGAACATCTGATAATATTAACTAAACACTATTATGCTTACTCAAAATAATAACTTTTCAAATGGGCAAAGATTATCCAAAAAACTGATAATCTTAAACTACAATGACACTTTAATTTCATCATTTTTATACTTACATTATCACACAACACTGAGGCCACCAGTTGTAATGTAATTTTTTTTATATTTATACTTGAGGGTCAAAATCATTACCATCATTTAAAGCATTAGGATCTTCCATTTCCTCCTTGGCATCATTTTCAAAACTTGGATCATTAATTGGATTGTGTATGTTTAAGGCTGGACTTAACTTAGGTGGCTGAGGTGCTGGAGTAACTTTTGCAGATACAGAAGGATTAGGTGCACTTTTTGTAGTTAAAGATGCTTTTAATCGCATGATTTCCTTTTCCAACTCTTCAATTTTTTCTTTTCTTTCTGCTAACTGAGTAGTAAGAGTATCTTTTTCCAATCTTAAAGTCTCTAATGTTGCCGATTTACTAACTTGAAGATTTTTTAAGCTTTGTAGTTCAGTCTTACAGTATTCAAGATCAACTAAAGTACGATTTGCTTGAGTTTCTGTTTTAGTAATTTTACTAAGGTACTCAGAAATCTGATCATTAAGCCTTACCTTTTCCTTTTCCAAATCATTCATTTTAGTGTTATATCCATCTCGTTGTTCAAGAAGAGTCAAGGACTCTTGCACACATGTTGTTTGAGCTTTCGAACACTCTTGTAATTGTGCACTTAATTCACCGACTTTGATTTGTAATTCATTCTCCATACTCCAACTATTAAAAAGTGAAAGGGTGAGTAAAATGCACACCGCAAACACTATGTACATCGGCCAGCGACGCATATTTTCCAAGCCCATACTATAATAAATAAAAATCTATCTGGATATTCCCTCTCTTTACAAATATTTACCATTAACACTTTCTAGAGTTTATAAAAATGAAGAAAATTTGCATGACGGTTGACTGCGCCTTACCATAGATGAATATAATAGTAATAGATATTTTCATTTTCAGTTTATATTTTATACAAAGATACAAAGGTACTCTGTGACGAATTATTTGCGATACTACCATATCGATAGTTTCCCTAAGAAAAAGAGAAAAACTCACAAGCATTAGAAAATACACTCGATCAATTAAAATAATCTTTTTAGTTGGTCTGCGTAGTAAGGTTTTTAGGGTTTCATACTATGGTTTCATAGTTACACAACAAGGACGCTTATAGCTTAGCTAAGTTCAACAGTCACACAACAGTTTGTCTGCGACTTAATACAGAGACTTCTAAACTTACGCTTAGGAATATTTGTAATAATAATAAATAAGTTAAATATTAGTCAAAAATCGGGTGTTTATAAACTTTGGAATAAAATGCACAGGCACAACCTAGTAGCCAGAATTCTACACCAGGAGCTCGCTCTGAAATACGGTCTCGTGGACCGAAAATTGCCGTATTACAAGTACTTGCCGGAAGCCGTGCTCGAAAATGACCGCGCCAGGCTCTACTGGGACCGGACCATCATCACGGACAGGACTATTCCTGCGAATAAGCCTGATATCGTGCTGATGGACCGGGCATAGTCAAGGATATTTTTGGTCGACATTACCATTCCGTATGACGAGAACCTCGTGAAAGCCAAAACAGACAAGCAATCAAAATATTTGGACCTGGCTCACGAGGTGACCGACATGTGGGGTGGTCTGCCGAAATTATTCCTGTAGTCATGTCTGCAAACGGGTTAATCCCAGCCAGCCTCTCGGGCCATCTGAGGCGACTGGGACTCCATGACGGACCGCTCCGGGCTCAAATGCAGGAGAAGGTGCTCGATACCGCCCGCATCGTCCGCCGGTTTCTTTCCCTTTCCCCTTAACCCTCGGCCGTTTGGTCTCCCCTGCCGAGGGCTTCCATCTGGTTGGGCTTTTATTTATTTATGTATTATTTATTTATTTATGTTAGTATATGAAATATATATTTAAGTATATTTATTTTTCCCTTTATATATTTATCCAGCCCAACCAGATGTGATTACTCTATTAATAACCCAAAAAAATAACATTTAAAAATATTAATCATAACAATAATGATAATTAGTCGCAGGTTTGTTATCGCACAGCGCGGTCACTCGCTACTTTGGTGGGGAGCGGTTGTGTCGGCGTGTATAAATAACAGCCGTTTCGGCTCGCCGCTAAAAAACTAAACAACAACTAAAAACTAAAAAAACAAAAAAAAAACTCGCCACTCACTTAGCGGTCAGCCGCCGTAGAGTCTACATCACCTAAGGTTACCTCGTGTAGAGGCGAAACACGTGTCGTATTATCGTCGATGGTGGGTCTTACCTGGAATAGTGGTGCTGGGACTAGTGTTGACGGAGTTAGTGCATGCAATTGAGGGAGGGCGGGAGGTGCTCTTCAATCCAGGTAAGAAAAAAATTGTCAGTTTGTAACTTTATTTATAAAAAATCAAAAACTTTTTACGCCGCGAGAAAGTAGAAAAATATGTTTTTCTTGTAAGATATTGACCTGAGAACATTGAAACCACTACGAATGTTTTGCAAATTGATTACTGATTCTGTAAATATTGCCTTTATTGCATTATTTGCATAGACACTAAGTAATAAATTAATAATTTTTTCGTCAACTACTCTACATCAATGCGGGTGGTTCGTGTACCATATAAATCGTATCGAAAAAAATTAGATTATTGCGGAATCGTTAGAAATATTTGTAATTTCAGGTAAAAAAATTGTCAGAAAAAATTAGACAATGGCGGAATTGTTATAAATATTCATAATCTCAAGTAAAAACTTGTCAGTTTACAACTTTATTTATAAAAAATCAAAAACTTTTTACGCCGCGAGAAAGTAGAAAAACGTTTTTTTGTAAGATATTCATTTGAGAGCATTGAAACAACTGCGAATCGTTTGAAAATTAATTACCGATTCTGTGAATATTGCATTTATTGTTTTATTCGCATAGATACTAAGTAATAAATTAATTATTTTTTCGTCAACTATTCTACACCAATGCGGGCGATTCGCGCACCGTATTGTATAAATCGTATCGAAAAAAGAATAGATAATTGCGAGATCATTAGAAATTTTTGTAATCTCAAGTAAAAAAAATGGTCAGTCTATAACTATATTTATAAAAACTCAAAAACTTTTAACGCCGCGAGAAAAAAGAAAAATATGTTTTTCTTGTAAGATATTGAAATGAGAACATTGAAACCACTGAGAATAGTTTGCAAATTGATTACGGATTCCGTCAATATTGCCTTTATTGCGTTATTCGCTATAGCAAATTTTTTCCACCATCAATGCGGGTGGTTCGTGTACCATATTGTATAAATCGTATCGGAAAAAATTAGATTATTGCGGAATCGTTACAAATATTCGTAATATCAGGTAAAAAAATTGTCAAAAAAAATTAGACAATGGCGGTATCGTTAGAAGTATTTGTAATCTCAAGTAAAAACTTGTCAGTTTACAACTTTATTTATAAAAAATCAAAAACTTTTTACGCCACGAGAAAGTAGAAAAACACGTTTTTGTGTAAGATAATTGATCTGAGAACATTGAAACAACTGCGAATCGTTTGAAAATTAATTACCGATTCTGTAAATATTGCCTTTATTGCGTTATTTGCTATAGATACTGAGTAATAAATTAATTATTTTTTCTTCAACTATTCTACACCAATTAGGGCGGTTCGTGTACCATATTGTATAAATCGTCAAATAATTTTTAATATTTGTAATTTCAAGTAAAAAAATGGTCAGTTTATAAACTTATTTATAAAAAATAAAAAACTTTTAACGCCGCATTCGATTCCGCAAAATCAATACGATTAAACCGCAAAAAAACCACAGACATTTATTTTTAATCAATATCTACTTTCTTTTTATAAATAAAGTTATAAACTGACAATTTTTTACTTGAGATTACAAATATTTCTAAAGATTCCGCAATTATCTAATTTTTTTCCGATACGATTTATACAAATTATTCGCGAACATCGTGTAGCTGAACAGAACCGACTTTACCTTGGACTCTACCTCAAGTGACTACAATTTACATATTTATATTTATTACTGGCAAGTAACTTATTTGATCACGTGACTTGGTAGCTATAGGCTAGTAAAATCCTTCATCGACTTCTTTGGTTTATAGCCACGAGGTTATTAGCAATTTTTCAATTTATCAGTGGTATAATAAACAAAAACTTCATATCCTCCGTACAAAATGCCTCCTAGTAATCCATTGCCGCCTAAGGAAAATGCCCTTTTCAAACGAATTTTGGTAAGTTTCGTTGTAAACACATAATTTTGTTCGTCTTGTCATCCCTGTCTTATATTTCAAAATAATAAAAAAAATATTTTGTAGAAATAAATAAAATGTATTACACTGGCTTAAATTTACTTAGACTTTGTAGCATAGTTTCATTTTTAATTAACATCGGCTTATTCCAAATAAATACATGACAAAAACAGCGACCTTGCACTATTTGGTTGCTTCCTATAGTAAAAATAGGTTAGCATTAATTTTCATTACAATTTTACATGACTTTTACCTTCCAGAGATGCTATGAACATAAACAGTATAAAAATGGGTTAAAATTCGCGAAGCAAATACTGTCCAATCCAAAATTTGCCGAACATGGAGGTGAGCGTTTGTTTTTTTAACGTATGCATGAATTATAAGAAAAATATCCCTTTTAATTGTTGAGCGAACAGTTTATATCATAAAATGTTATATATTGTGTTGTAGAAACGTTGGCTATGAAAGGATTGACACTGAATTGCCTTGGCCGCAAAGAAGAAGCCTATGATTATGTGCGTCGCGGTCTACGCAATGATTTAAAGTCTCCTGTGTGCTGGCATGTATATGGACTGCTTCAGCGATCAGACAAAAAGTATGATGAGGCAATTAAATGTTATCGTAATGCACTCAAGTGGGAAAAAGAGAACATTCAAATACTCCGTGACCTTTCATTGCTTCAAATTCAGATGAGAGATTTGGAGGGATATAAAGTAAGTATATTCCAATTCCTAAATCATATAAGAAATAATTTATTATCTCTGATGGGCTTACAAGCAATCCTCATGTTGCAAAAATTTCGTGATACGGAAAATGCTTTAAAGCTACCTTCCATGAACAAAATTGGAGAAATGGTTTTCTTTATACTAAAGTAATACAGTTATATGTACTGGCGCAAAGTCTAGCAGTGATCGTTATTGTGCATAAGTTGAAAATAAGGAATAGTAAGCGGGTCGCGGGCGGGTATGCATATCACTGAATGGCTGTGCGTATTGTTTGCATCCACTGTTTGGCTTCTGCTACTTGCATATGGCTACGGCTATTAGCATACTGATACAACATGCACAGCTATCCCTTCCATGTTTTATTCACCACTAGAGTTAGGTGCCGCGACTTGTACTAATTATAATCATCAACAACTGAGCATGGTGCTCTCGATAACTCCCAGCATAGGCTTGATATGGAAGTTGAATAGCTTGACAGACACCATTGGGATTATTTATCATAACCCTGAGGTCTTATGTTATGGCAGAGTCACTTAAAGACCTTATGCTATGGCTTCCATAATGACTATAAATATATATTTTATAGTAATTATGGAGGAATTGCTGGATGACCTCAACACTATCCATAGATAACCACATCTGTCCATCGATGTTCTGTCAAGAACAGAACATAGATGTTTTGTGTATGGGATCTAACATATAATGCTTCATGACTAGTGAAAATGGTTGCTGATTTTCAGCACTAATTTTAAGAAACATGCAATGTTATTCTGCTTATTTATACTTTTATTTCTTGGGAACATTGCTTTTTTAATATCA